GCAGAGCACAGAGTCCAAGTCAACTCGGGGCCTGTCCAGACGATGCCACATAAAACTCGCTTTGTCTACTTTGTGAATAGCTACACAAATGGTGTTTGGTTTGACGTTCATATCCCGCACACGGTGTGGTTTCCATGATCCCCTAAGAGCCAGCATTTCATTCGGTCTTTCTTTTCTTTTCTCCAAACCACCAGCTAACGTCCTGGAGGGCGACTCCATGGACCAGGACGTGGAGAGCCCCGTGGCCATTCACCAGCCAAAGTTGCCTAAGCAGGCCAGGGACGACCTGCCGAGACACATCTGCCGAGACCGGACCAAAAGGAAAATCCAGAGGTACGTGCGGAAGGACGGGAAGTGCAACGTGCACCATGGCAACGTGAGGGAGACCTACCGCTACCTGACCGACATCTTCACCACCTTAGTCGACCTCAAGTGGAGGTTCAACCTGCTGATCTTCGTCATGGTTTACACAGTCACGTGGCTCTTTTTTGGGATGATCTGGTGGCTAATAGCGTATATCCGAGGAGATATGGACCACATAGAGGACCCGTCGTGGACTCCCTGCGTCACCAACCTCAACGGGTTTGTCTCTGCTTTTTTATTCTCAATAGAGACAGAAACCACCATCGGTTATGGCTACCGGGTCATCACGGACAAGTGCCCGGAGGGGATTATTCTCCTCTTAGTCCAGTCGGTGTTGGGGTCCATTGTCAATGCATTCATGGTGGGATGCATGTTTGTCAAAATATCGCAACCCAAGAAGAGGGCAGAGACCCTGGTGTTCTCCACCCACGCGGTGATCTCCATGCGGGACGGGAAGCTGTGCCTGATGTTTCGCGTCGGGGACCTCAGGAATTCCCACATCGTGGAGGCCTCCATCCGAGCCAAGCTGATCAAATCCAAACAGACCTCAGAGGGGGAGTTCATCCCCTTGAACCAGACGGACATCAACGTCGGGTATTACACCGGGGACGACCGGCTGTTCCTGGTGTCGCCTCTCATCATCAGTCACGAAATCAACCAACAGAGTCCTTTCTGGGAAATCTCCAAAGCCCAGCTGCCCAAAGAGGAACTGGAGATCGTGGTCATCCTGGAAGGGATGGTGGAAGCCACAGGTAAGGCCTGCTCCGTCCTGGGGTGTCTGTGGGACCCAGGCTCCTTTCAACCGGGTCTCACATTCTTATTTATGGGAAAGCTGCACCGCACTCACTGTTGACACCGCCCCTCACTTCATGACGTAGTATGCCCATGTAGCTTATCCCCTCAAGTCTATCCACCAAGAAGGCTAGCCGTCGCTTTTTAAAAGGCCTTTAGAAACAAATTAATAAACAAGTGTTTTAAAAACACTGCTTAATATATGTTAAATTTCCAAGTATTTACGTAAGTTAAAATTTCTCGCTAAAGCACCTTTTAAATGGGGCTGAAACATGGTCAATTTAAATACTTGGGGTTATTTATTGCCTCGCCAGGAGGAAGACGGGAAGGCTTTCAGAGGAAGCCTGACAAATCGCTTTAATAAAAATGCAATTTCCCCTCTTCTTTGGGAGCTATTTGCAAGGCCCATAGCGTTGTTTTATGTCGAGTGAGTGCTTGGCGTCTATCTCCATAGTCTACCTGCTGAACCCCCGGCAGACACAATCCTGCAGCCCCAGTAAATAGCTCCAGCAGGAAAGCAAAAAGCCGAAGATCCATTCGTCGCAACCCCATTGACCTCTCATTGGTGTGCTTTAGGGAAGATCATCTGCTCTCAGAATAGGGAGCTGGTCTGCTTTTATTGAAGTCTTCACTCACATCTGAACTTTACACGTGTTATTCATCCCACCAGCAAAACAGGTTCTGCCCGTGTTTATCTGTAACTGTCCACAAAACAGAGCCGTAAACTCTGACCTAAGCTAGCAGTGGTGTCCTCCAGAAATCATATAAACTAGAACCCTAACTCGTCAATTTCTTTACTGTTCTTCTGGGCATCGATAGTAGCCTTGGGATCCTGTTTAGTTATGCAATCTGCCCTTCTGTGCCTGGAAGTCTTCAACTGGAGGCTCGGGGTTGGTTTATCTCAACTGAAAATACATGGCCCACAGACAGGCCCCAGATTCCTCATCAACCCCTAAGCTGACCTCCGTCATCCCTTCAAAAGAAAGTCCTTGGTCCCGTGTCTCCGCCTGCCTGTGCCCAGCAGGCAAGGTCATACCTCTAGCAAGTTTCTCTCCTGGTGGAAACTTTGCCATCAGTCTGTAAATGCAACCAGCAATGAAAATGTGAGTGGTGGGCTTTGCATGGAGCTCGGTGGTTTGAGTGGGCTCCTTTCCATTAGAACTAAAGGAGCATGGACCTAATCCGAAAACAGCTGTAAAGAATAGCAAAAGAATGATTGTGGAATACTAAAAGATTGCTACAGATGTGAACAGGGCTATCTGTTACTTGAGCCTGACTTCGGATGTATTCCTGAAGCCATGGTTGTGTGTTTGGGGGAGTGGAGAGGCAGGAGAGAGGGAGGGAGCAATTTAAACCGGGAGCCCTGTCATTTCCCACAGACCAGAAACTTCTCCCACGGGGCTGAGCACAGGGACTCTGGATCCCCCTAGTGGTGGCCCCTGCGACACAGCCTCTGGCAGCATAAACCAACCACTCATGATGCAATTTGAATATTAGATTTCTCACTATCAACTCTCCCAATAGGACCTGAGGGAGGGCAGTGGACAAGCCTTGTTATCGTGGCATCTCTGAGCTCAAGAAGCAAAAGCCACGGGAAATATGTGCTTTCTGGTTAGTGGTGTTCATCTGAGCTTCAAACTGTAGGAGCTGAGCTTCATGCTCGCTCCACCCAAAACTCAATCTCAAAAAAATACATGAACCCGGAATAAGCAAATTATCCTGTGATGTCCCTGAGCTGGCATTCTCCCTGGGGCAGGCCCTGTCTTTCTGAGGACAGTTTGTAATGCCTGAACCTTTCCAAAGAGAGGGGCGCCGTCTTCTTGATAATCCACAGTGATGCTTGCCACGGCCTTTCTACTGCTTCCTTGGAGGAAAGGGGGAAGGTGCCAGCAAAAAAAGAAAAGATTCAAAACACCTGCCTTTGTTCCTGGAAAAAGGCAACCCCTATTAATTTTCTATTTAAACAAAAAAAAAGTTTTCTAACTTCTGGAAAGGGAAGGGAAGAATGTTCTAGAAAGTCCTGGGCTTGTCTGGAAGCTGGACATGTCTTGTTCCTTTCCTGGTGGGATTCATACAATTCAGTGCTTATAGCACATCTGATCTCTTAAGCTTCAGGGGAATGCTTTTCTTTGTGAATGAAAAACACAGTTGGTATTTGTGGGCATTAAACAGATCCTTAGGGGGAAGAAATGCTTCAATGAGTCAAAGTCACAGGAAAAAATTAATATGGATCAAATGCACACTGAGGAAAACAAATTCACAAGGGCCTAATTATTCACTGGAGGGCTGGATGGGACACCAAGAGCCTTGACAACAGTGAGCTGGCACAAAACGGCTTCCGCTCTACTCATTTCTCCTTTCGAAAATGTCTTAGTTGACCTTAAACTACTATCCGTGATCTCAGTTAGCGGGCCTATTTCAAGGACGAGCTCCACATTGCAACCCTGATGCAGTGCCCTCTCCCTGTCACCCACGTGTGGGCATACGTGGATCAGAACATGGTATTTCTGGAGAGCTGAGCTGCCCTGGGGAAGGCTGGCCACCCGGTCCTTCAGTCAGCTGGGTCCCAGGCTCAGCACAGAACATCTGGCAGATGATTCCAACGCCAGCGGCACTGCAGCAAGCCTTTGCCCAGCACTCAGAGTCAGGCTCATTTTTAGAAAATGAAAGTAAGAACCTTGAGGGTAGGGTGTGCATCTTGCCCAACCCCGGTGCCCTGCAGGTCATGACCCCAGGCCTTCACTCGATGAGTTCTCTGGCCTCATAAAAGGCAGACTCGCATCCACAAAAGACAGACCCACATCCTCAGGGGATGGCTTCAGTCTGGTTCTGCCCAGACTCGGAGAAATGTGTACAGTGACCTCTAAGAACCTTCCAGTCATGTGATTCTATTTTTGAAAATGAATCAAACCCTGCAAAATTCTGACACCCACCACCCAGACATCTGGGAACTGGCCGTGTCTCATCCCACAAATATATCTTTTAAGGGAGCCCTTTATGTTCCTGACACATGGGTGATTTTGAGATAGTGGTGTTTACAGAAGGGTTCATAGCTACATAAACAAACACGCGCAGCAGCTGTGGCGAATGTGCATTTAAATAGTAAAGCATTCACATGGACGGTTATTTATGGTGGGTAAATTGGCCTAGAGGCTAGATGACAGCCACACAGAGCTGGGCCCGTTGCCAGCCAGCTCCTCACCATAGCCTTTCTGATTGATGAACTTCCATATTTACCCCCAGTGATTATGCAACTATGACAAGCAGCCCCTTCCAACACCTCCGCCAATGTGCTCCATAGATAAATCCCATCAGGCTGGGTTTTTTACACTTTTTATTATGTAAACTATAAAATGTATACAAGAATAGGCCAAATAGTATAACCCACTCCCGTGTACCCATCATTTAATTACTATAATTGTCAATTTATGCCCAAAACTTGTCCCATCTATATCACCACTCACTAACTGCTCCCAGCATCATATTTTATCTGCAAAATTTTCAGTATGTATCTTAAAAGATAAGGACCCTTTTAAAAACATAACTATAACACCATTAGGACCTCAAAAATAATTAATGATCATCTCTTCAGATCTAATATCTAAGTGTTCCAATTTCCAATTGTCTCATAAATGTCTTTTTAAAAATTTTTTTAATCTGCTTGTTTGACTCGGGATGCAAATGAAGTTAACACACTGGTTGGTTGAGATCTCTTTTTAGCCTCTTAATCTATGACTTCCCCTTCCATCCCTGTTTTCTTATTCCTTGAATTTTTCTCAAAGAAGAAAACATCTGAAAGATTTAAGTACGGCATGAAAAATTGGGGGAAGTGGAAGTGGGTGGGGAAAACAGGAAGTGTGTGGTGGAAAACCGGAAGTGTGTGGTGGCAAAGTGGAAGTGGGTGATAGTGAATCTGAAGTTGGTGGTAGTGAACCGGAAGTTGGTGGTAGTGAACCGGAAGTTGTTGGTGGCAAACAGGAAGCGGGTGTCAGCAAGCAGTTCTTCACCACTGGAAAGCTCAGTTCCATCGCTAGAATAATATTACCCACAGGAAGAAAGTCAGCTCGCAGATCGGGAGGAGTCCTTATTCTTAGCTGAGGAAATGGAGGCCTGGCTAAGGCCCATTGGCCACTGGCAGAGCCGGAAGTGGACACCCAAGGCCCCTGACGGTGGCTCAGCCCTGGGTTTAGTGCCTTTTGCAACGCGAGAGCTGCTGGTCCATGGAGACTCGGTAGAGAGACGCGCCCAAAAGAGACAGCTGGTGTTTTGTGGGCAGACGGGCTTTCTTCTCTTCGCCTCCACCGTTAGCTCCTCTTTTGCTGTAAGGTTTCTCTGTTGGTCTCTCATGTTACCGACTCATTTTAAAATTCTTTATGTGTTCCCATGAGTCTTTAAGAGCTGTCTATTAAAAAGAGATAACGCCGCCAAGAAAGTTCTGAAATTGAAATTAGGTAAGCAATGTCTACAAAGATACGCCTGGGAGAACATGCTGCTCTGTCCGCTCTGATTTCCAAGCGCCAGCTTCCCTTTCTGCCATCCAGAAGCCACTGGGCTGTCAAGGGGGAGAACCTGAGCCCAGGCAGCTGGACAGTGGCTGCTCGGATAAGGCGGCTGGGGCTTGGCGTCTCAGGACCTTAAGCTGTTTCTAATAGCGATGTTTCATAGCCATTGCCTTCCACAGCCCTTACTTCCTCCTTCTGATAAGTTACTGCTAATCCCTCAAGTGGCAAGCCATTTTCTCCAGATTTACTGCTTTCCTCTTAAGAGTTTATAACCCCAACTACCTGCCTACCTTGGGAAAACAGTTGGTTGATGAGACCTGAATGGTAAGCACTTGGGTAAAAATCACCTCTATGAGGAGGACTGTTTTTAAAAACTCAAAGACGTGAATGCATTTTTCCTAAGTAGAAATCTACTATCTGTCAACATCAAGAAATCCAACAGTCCCTTCTTTGGGCATTAGGTTTAAGTGACCTATTTGGGGCCTCCTTTCAAATGCCCACCGCAGTGTAATACACCCGGGAATGTCATTAGCTGGATGAAAAGTGATAACACCTGCTC